CTTAGAGTTTAGAATCATAAGTTTTGAACAGCATGGGGTTTGGGGTGAGGAATGCAGCCCAAAGATTTCATCAAGGTCCAATAGCTCTTTATGGGTAATCTGGGTCAACCACCCAGTTCCCTGGATCCCATCAATGATGTTTGTACTCTGCGAGGCTGCGGGAAGACTGGAGGGGTTTCTAACAGGGAGGGTCATGAGAAGTCCGGATGCCTGAAGAAAAGTGAAAGGGGTCTCCCTGAGCAGGTGCAAGGCAATTAAGATGTCTATGACTCACTCCACTGGCTTCAAAGACAAAAGAGGATGATACAGTAGTAAAGGACTCTTCTGAGGAGGAGGAAATACGGTAGAGTGGAAAATAAGAAATGAACTTTGATGTCAGCTCAAGTTGCGTTCGCATCTAAACTTGGTCACTTACTGGTTGTGTGACTTTGGGAAAATGTCTGAACCTCTCTGAGCTTCCATTTGCTTATCTCAAAAACATAGAGAACGCTATCTGCCTTGTGTGACGGCACCCCATGACTGTAAAGTAATGACAGTGCTTGAGCTACAGCGGGTGCTGAGAAGTGTGACTATCAACACTATCATCATCATCACTTTGAAATTTCTCCCTATTAAGTATTTTAATCCTACAAGAACGTCACAGGTCCTGCCCTTTCTGATAGTGCCGCATACTGCTGAGGGTTTGTAATGTGCTGCAGAGTGTGCTAGACATGGTCCCCAAGCAAAGGAACAACAGCAATATAGTCGAGCTTTCTTGCTTCTCTGAAACACACAGAAGCATTCCCTTGTCCTTCCTTTCTGAACAAGACAGACAAGTGAAACCATTAGAATTAACTCCCCCAAAATAGTACGTTGGCAATCATTGCTTTAGGCAAGGTCACTCATTGTATTCCGACCTGAAAATTCATTTTCTCTCCAAATGGCTTTTTTTCTCCCAAGAATCTTTCACTGAGAATGGGCTCCCAATTCTAATACTACTAAGTTCCTTAAGAACCAGTAGTTCCTTAATGAATCAAGGTGTGCCTTCTGTCCACCATAATACTGTAGAATGAAAGGGTTGATTTGCATCCTTCTAGCAATATGAGAACAGTCCTGGCCAACGCGGGTGGACCGAGCTTCCTGGCTTTCCTTCAGCATGATTTGCTTTATGTCTAGTGGGAATCTGCTAGCAACTTACAGGAGGGGCCAGGCAAGCTTTGCTGGCTTCCTTGGCCTGTCTTGGAATTTGGCAAATCCAGTGGGCTCTGATGTCCAGGCTCCTTTCTTCTAAATCCTTTATCTTTTCCCATTTCTGCAGGGAAAAAGCATGAGATTCTCCCACAGGCCTTTAGGACACAGATTCATTCCTTTGTTCGACAAATTTTTACTGACTACCTACATTGTGCCAGGCACAGTTTTAGATGCTAAAGAACAGAGAGTCCCAGGCTTCATGGGTCTTGCATTGCAATAGAGGAGAAATAAGTAAATAAAAATGTAATATTTGATTTTACAAACTGTAAAAATAACGGCAACTGTTCACAATGTCTGCATCTATCAGTCATTTAAACTTTAAGTAAGGTACACACTCGAGAGCTGGTTTTATGAGCAAGGTGAACTGGAGAGTAGGAAGGAAGGGAAGTGAGACTGGGGGAGACTGACTTCCTATGCTTTGTTTTACTCTTGTGCCTTTAAAACGGAAATGTTTGCTCCAGCCTTCTTACTCTCAGTAAAGAAACGGGGACTCTATGTAAGGAAACATTATTCCTTGCCCTATGCAAACAGGAGCGGAGGCCTCCTGAAGGCCTGTCTGTCGGCCCCAGTGACAGTGGGGGATGTGTGATAATGCTTCCGGAAATGAGTTCTCTAACGAACATCACACGGAAGATGGGCAGCCTCAGCTCCCTGCCTTCATATTTTAGATGGTGGGAAAGAGGAGAGCAAATCTGACATGCTGTAGGCAGTGTCTGCCAGCGAACAGTCTGAGTTTCAATTAGAACACTTTCTGTGAGACCCGCCAAAAATAGATAGAGATCCAGAGTAAAGGAGATAAAAACTGTTCACGTTTCGGCATAGTGCTGTATGTGTCAGTCTTATTTGATGCAATTTCTGCATCTCTGTACACAATAATAAGCTCATTTCCCCCCTTTTGAAGGTTCTGGGGTGATGGGACTATTCTAAATCTGGATGCTTGTTAAACGGGTAGATCTAGGATGTAACAAGTCATCATGCTGCAACTTAAGATTTGTGTACTTTTACTGTGTTTAATAGTAACTTCACTGAAAAAGGAAAAAATAAGTAAAGGGCAAGTCTGCATTTTACACCTAGAGAGTGCGGTAAACTAGACATCATAAACTATGGCCTCTGCAGCCCGGGAAGGAACCGATTAGAGCTTTACAATCACTTCCCATTTCCTCAGCTGACAACAGATTAACAAACCACCAAGCTGTTAACTGTCCTCCTTGTGACTGGCACCCATTGGGTTCCAATACTAAACCTATCTAGAAAGGAAATTAGAAAACACTACAGAGGAAGGGAAATACCCTCTGAGTTCCCAGCTGAGACAAAATTCAGGGACAGTTTCATGCTTGGTGGGAATTTCTCTCAGTGGGCTTTTCCATGCTGGTAATAGTTTTGACCTCAAGAATTCTAGGTCCCTGTAGGATTGTTAGATCTGCCACAAAGGCAGAAATAACTGTGTGGGAAGCCTCTGCTCCCTAAATAAATGTGAACAGTTCACTTCAAAAAAAGGTCATATTCAGCAAACATATAGTTAAGAATATTAAAATCAGATTGTTTTCAATAGCATACAAAATAGTTCAATTCCATGTTGCATGCTTCTTAAGTTGGATTCATTTCCACTATTATTGCTTTGTAATTTCTCAAAAGTGGGAAATTTCCAGATTTTCTGATTTTGATTCACTTGAACTATGTGCATGCCTGCTGATGATTTTTGTATGACGAACATATTTTTGTTTGATGAAAATATTTCCTCTTTAAAAAATAGGAAAGAATAAATAGATTCTCACTGTGTTAATAACAATTTTAAACTCACAGATACTTTTGAGGGTTTATTCCCCCATTTAAAAAGTGTCCGATTTTTAAAATTTAATTACTAAGATTTTCATTTAATCCTTTTACTCTGCCTTTATTAAAGAGTTCATGATATTAATCTCAATAAAGTGGTGTTTTCCAAAAAATAAAGTTTTTTATGCTGGGAGAAAAATATAAATAGCTACACATATTTACATCTATGTCTCCAAATGAACTCTTTGATTGACAAACATGATTTTTCCTATCTAAAATGTTATTTTTAAGTCAGTTGTTTAGAACTCAAAACTATTTGTTTTCCTTTAGAAACATGGTATTTGTGTTCTCAGAATAGCCCACAGAAGCTAGATAACTTATTTAGCAATGAAGGTGAAATACTGTATGTTTACAGAAAAATTTAAATAATAAGTTTACAATAATAGCAGAAGATTGCTGAATAAAACAGCATTCTATAATTTTACCTTTCAGCTATTGTTTGAAGGCATGTTTAATTACATAAGACATCTTCAAATAACCTATACTTGTCAATACGGATAATGAACAAGAGTAAAAACAAAATATGAATCATCCCACCAACCAAAAATATCTACTAATATAGTGTTGTGCTTATTTCCAAGAATGGAAACATATTTTTATATAATTCAGATTACAATGCACTGTTTTATAGCTCGCTTTTCCCAACATTGTTGTATTTTCACCATTTTGAAGATTGTCAGCATAGATTCTTTGTGTAATCTCACTTCAAATCCCAAACCTTTTCTTTCTTTAAAATAAGTACGCCACTACTTTTTGTTCTGTCTTGGCTTATATAGAATGTATACAATGAAGCAGAGACAGAAAAGGGAAGCAGACGGGAGGGCAAGAATGAGCATGACAGCAAGGGACGTTTAGGTAGCAGTGCCCAAGTTAGAGGGGTCGATGGCTATATTAGATTCTTCAGAGAAAAGGAACACATACTGGAGCAGTGAACTTTAGACTCACAGGGATTCCAGTATTGGAGCTAAATGGGAATAAGAATCATTTTACTCCATCATTTGACAAGGAGACGAATGTTTATCAAGTTTAAGGTCTTGCTTCGGGGACAGAGACAGTTTGAGGCAATACTGGGGAGGGAACCCAGATATGCTGATTCTCAATCTTAATTTCCTTCCTGAAAATCTGAAGTATAGAAAAATGGAACAGCAAGAAGTATGCACCATCTCCTTGAGGACTAAAAAAGGAAATGCTGGAAAAGAGATGGTGGCTCAAACAGAATCCTGATATAAGGCTTGGGCAGAGCTGGCTGGAGCTTGGAAATGGGAAGAGGCAAAGGGGAGAAAGTAGCCCCTCTTGGGTGCAGAGAGGTGAAAACTATGTGCAAGCCACTAGCCTTAAATGCGTTCTTTTTCAGCTCAAGGATTACTTGCCCCAGATTTGTCAATATCCCAGAATGAATGCTACAATATATTGTTAACCCATCCATGTAGATTAGCAAATGAAAAGAATGGAGTTAATTTGCCCATTTGATGGAAGGAGAACCAATGCTTATAGCAACCAATTATGTTTATCACATCAGTTATTGTCCTTGAAGCAGTCAAGTCCACCTGTCCAAAATATAATTCTAAAACAGTATAAGTTTTATGTCTTTTGGGCATCAATATGGGTAAGAGCCCAGTGTCCTCGGTACACTATTTCTCAGTGCTCTTGTTGATTCTAGAATAAACTTGAGACTGGTGCCACTGAGGAGGTGGGAGTCAGAGGCTGTAAGATGGGAAATAGAAAGGGAGTATAATGAAATTTTACAATGTTTTTAAACTTTACCAATGACTACTGGTCATTTGAAAAATAAAAAGCATTGCCCTGAAAGCTTAGATTTCATTATTTGAATCAGTGTCACTTTGGTTTACTACTAAATGTAATGTTGGTTTCTTTCTCAAGAATCAGACCTCACAGATTTAAAACTTGTTTTTCTTCCTTTTTACTGTTTTGCTAAGACTCACCTTGACCTTATCCTGTCCCATGGACTTGAAGAATTTTCCAATGGATGTCCAGACTTGTACAATGCAGCTGGAGAGTTGTAAGTCACCACTGCTGAAATGACTGCCTGCTCGTTTTAACCAATAACCTGGTTCTTTTAGTGCATCATTAAGGAGAAAAGACCCATAAGACTCATTTTCTACCTACTTCCAACTCCCAAGTTCCTAATGAAAGGACAAGCAAAAGTGCATGTGCATGGCTCATATCCAGTGGAGCATAGAGAATCTTTCAAAGTAAAAATGCCAAATAACTCGCCCTTCCTCACCAAAGAAGCCTGATTGAGTAAGCTTTCCTTTGAATGAAAACATCTCCTGGGAAAATTAAGATTGTTAGTCATTCAACCTCTATAATGAGTTACTCTCTAATCAGAAAATTGTATTTCTTTCTATGTTATGCTCACATAGACCATCACCACAAAGGCATTTTGGCAGGAAGAGGTAACTGATTTGAGGACAAAATACAGGAGCCTTTGTCAAAGGAGGATGGAAGAATGAGGGCCATGAGATGATAGGGAATGAGGGGCATCTCCCTTAGATGGGCAGTGGACGCACAAAGGCATGGTGGAGGAACTTTGCCCCCTTTAGACCCTAGCCCTGATGCCACGGAAATCTTTGACACATGCCATAAGTTGCTGATGCCTCCAAGACAAGAGCCATGACATTTTTTTCTGGCTTGCTCTGTCAGTTTCTCTGTTTGCAAAAATGCAGAGAATAATAAGTCCTATTGACCTACAGGGATGTCATGAGATTTAATGAGGCTGGAGCAAGGAAATAGTTTTAACTTCTTGGTTTAGAAAAATAATAAATAATATTAAAAGATACACTGACTATTATTAAAAAAGAGTCAGCGACAGGGTTTCCTTCTGATCATTTAAAATCGCCACCGATTTCCCTTGACACCTCCTACAGAAATAAACAAAATAATGAAGCAGCTTTGTTTCAAGAAGTTGTCAGGGATAAAATGAGAATTTCTGATTTGTAATAAACTTTATGTATTCTTTTCTCCCCTACTGCCACTTCTCTTGAGAAGAAAGTTAAGAAAAACATTTTCTTACATAATGATTCCTTTTCCCTGTCTTCTCTACTGCTCCAAACTCAACCCTGCCTCAACCCAACATTTATTTTCTCTATAAAACTGCAACCATAGCTGTCACCTGAGGTCTCACCAAGGCTTAAAAAACTCCAATTAGTAAATATGGTTGGTCCTTGCAGGACCCAGAAGTAGTACCATCAAAGAAGGAGAGATACATGTTTACCGCTGACTTTGAATGTGAAGGGGAGAAATTACTCATCACTTCTCTACCCTCATGTTACCTCCTCCTTCCCCACCTCTTCGCCTCTTCCGTCTGCCCCAGGCTGCAGCTTCAGGGTGGCTGACAAGGACTATTCCTGTGGCGGCCAGCAAGCTCGCCAGGCAAGGACACGGGTGTTTGATGATGAGCTTCTAGTATTTGCTGGAGAGACCCACGAAGGACTCATGCAGCCTGTAGTAAAAGAGATCGGGCTGGCCATTCACGCCTTAGAACATCAATGCTTGTACAGGGTCCTCTGTAATTCTTTGCTTTCCATGTTAGTTTTTTGGCTTTGAATGGAAAAGGTGGTCCAAAGAAAGAGGAAAGTCAATTCCAATTAACTTTGCCATTGATTTCTGGGTAGCTTTGGTGAGTCACTAATTTGCAGTAAACAGTTATAAGAATCTATAAACTTAAACATGCGGAGATTATCGGCCAACCAAAACCTCACTTAATATCCCTGTCTTCCTCACGCTCGTTTTAGAGTTCACATATCACAAACAAAGGGGGAGGGGAGAGAAACAATGCCTGAAGGAAGAACAGTCTTCATTTCTGGGGTACAGAAAGATCCAGCAGCACTTGACAGATAATGACCTAGTTAACAGGACTTTGGAGGCTAAGAGCTAACTTTGGTTTTGAAAACTGATCACAATCTTACTTTGGATAGTTAAGCAGTCATATAACAATATCACCTTACATAACACAGAATGGTTTACTTCATGTTAACCATTGTGATGAGTGGGCCTGTTTAGCAACACAGTATCACAAATGAACATGCTTGATTTGCATATTTCTGCAACTCCCTCGTAAGTTACCTGCCTATAGCCTTCACTACTTGCCAAAGTAACTGAGGATTGACCTCAGTTACTTCAACAGAAGCTTTCCGAAAACAAAGCTAATAGGCCCAAGGAGAGGGGTCAAACAATGGGGATGCTTTAGGCAGGCCCGTGATGAATGCGTTCTCATTAAAAAAATAAAAAGAAAAATAAACACATAAATAAATAAATAAATAAAAATAATGATTTTCATTTGAAATACTAAGACTGGTCCATGAATTGTATTGTCTTATTGGATTGCCACAGACATAGCTCTTTCAAGTAAAGACAGTCTTCAAAGGATTTTCATGTTTATTTACTTGTTTATTCTTCAGAAAGATGTAGTGAATAAAAAGGCAGAAGGAAATGGACGTTTTAAATTCCATTCTCTCATTACACAGAAAAAATCATTCAGAAAGAGCTTGCTGTCTTCAGTTGTCATGATGATTGCAGCTCTTTTATTAAGAATGCTTCTGAATTGACTGAGCACGTGTCTGCTGTAGACCATCTTCTGATTTCTTTACATGGCTAGCTAGACTTTCAAGGTCTCTTGGAAAGATGCATTCAGTTTTTCACTATGATTTGCTTACTCCAGTTGGGTACACGATGAATGACCTGATATTTGAGTGGCTAAGCGACGGTCCAGTTCAAGTTGCTGAAGGATTGACCCTACCCCAGTTTATTTTGAAAGAAGAGAAGGAACTCGGCTACTGCACAAAACACTATAACACCGGTAAGTGTTCTTTCAGCTGCTACACCCAGGTGGGCTCCATCTGCAGCTTGGGGCATACATCCCATCACGGTAATTGCTGCACACTCGTATTTACCAAGAAAACAGAGCTACAAGGCAAGGACCTGGGCTTGGCTCCAAACCCCCTCAACAGATAAGATACCGATACCCTCTGAAATAGGTCAAAGAGCACAGCAGAGAATTTTTGCAAAATAGACAGAAAAGGAATGAGATGTGGGCATCTTTTGCTGTTTTCTTGCTGACCATGAGTCTGAGGAAAGGTGTCCGAGGCCTTGTAAGTGGCACAGGAAGTGTATAAATCCTGGCCGGTTCCTGGCATCCACTTTTGCCATTGGATCCTTGGGTCAGTTTGCACTCTCCAGCTTAGTGGAGGGAGGAATAATCACACAGGCCTTTGTAAACCCAGAAACACAGCTGTTGGGCTCTGCAGTCCTGGACAGTTATAGGAGTTTGGATGAAGATCAGCTGGCAGGAATTCAGCTGGCTCTAAAGGCATGCATTGTCAGCAGTGCTGACAGACACATGGGGTGGCGGGGGCCCTGGAGGGGAAGCAACAAGTGGGCATCTGCTGTTACCTGGAAGATGATGTGTGCCCAGTAAAGCTGATGGCTTTTCCTAGGAATGTCCCAGTGTTGATACCACATGGCAGATCATGGCGAGGCAATCAAGGTGTGTCCAGTGACGGCTCCAGGTCCCTCGCTGAGCAGAATGCTCCATAAACACTTGTTTCACAGTCAACAGTGCTTCCTAGGAAGTAACTCACACCTGATTCCAGGGGGTTCCTCCTGACCGAGAGGAATCCAATCCAATCTCTGATAACTTGTGTGGGCTAAGCCAAATTATCTTCTGAGGTTCTAACTCCAAGCCAGTTGAAGAGGGAAAACCGTGGTAAGGGGGAGGAACACCTATCTCTTAATAGTATATTAAAAGTTTTTTTTTTAAGCTGAGCCATCCTGCCACCTGTTGGCAGCTCAGTGGCTGCTCAGCTCAGGCCGGGAATCGAACCACTGTTGCTCAGAGCTCAAACTCTTGAGTGAGCACTTAATCAACTGAGCCACTTGGCTGGCCCCAGTATATTAAAAGTTTTAATGGCTTTATATGCACTGTTTTTTATAGGCAATGTAACACTGTAAACAAATTCTAGGAATATTCTAAATGCCCTCGAGCAATTACTCAGAAGGCTAGGAAATTTTTATACTGACTGGATTATATACATGGCTTACACAAATGGGTATTTTTCTCTTGCTATTGGTAACACAAAAACAGATTCACAATTATTCAAATACTTTGGGAGCTCCATTCGAACTTTATGACTTAGGAAGGAATGGTTTCAACTATTACATATATTACATGTTATATATTACATGCTATACATATATGCTGTAGGTTATATATTATATGCTATATATTATGTATTTTATCCCCATGAAATGTGAATATTTTATTTATACTGGTCAGTTTATGATAGTCTTGCAAATTCTGAAGCTCTGTGTAAATAATCAAGACTTAGAAAATTAAATATGCCACATGATTTTGGTCCAGTGACTCTTTAAATCACTCATTCTCATAGTCATTCCATTACTGGTTAAGTTGGAAATGGTTATGTAGGGTGAATGGTTTGTGCAATCTTCCAAATCCATCTGTAATAATCTTGGTGTGTTTTTTTAATTTTTATTTTTGAATAAAGTGAGAGGCTGGAACAGGCAAGATAAACTTAAATTGCCTTTTATATCACCATTTCCTGCTTCCAGGAAAGTTTACCTGCATTGAGGTTAAGTTTCACCTGGAACGCCAGATGGGATATTATTTGATCCAGATGTACATCCCCAGTCTGCTGATAGTCATTTTGTCCTGGGTCTCCTTTTGGATAAACATGGATGCAGCCCCTGCCAGAGTCGCGCTGGGCATCACCACAGTCTTAACGATGACTACTCAGAGTTCAGGTTCCAGGGCATCGCTGCCAAAGGTAAGAAATCTCCTCACTTGACAACAAGTGGCCTGAGAGTTTGTCAAAGGTCTGTGGGCTGGAGGATTCTGAGAAGACAGAACTGTCTGTCATCCTGTGGCTCTGTTGTAGCTACAAATGCAGTGAGAGAACAAAGAGCCGAGTTTGAGGGAATCAGAGCTCTGAGGACATGGGGCAACGTCATCATCAGATCAATTATTGGAAAGAGGAATTGGGGTGCAGAGAGAAGAGAAATGAGCAGAGGCAGATGAATGCTCAGTAATTCTGTCTGAGAAGCCATTAAGTGCTTCCGACCTCACGTTGTTTATGAGCCATGAAGCTTGCAGGAGTTGGAGTAAGATTAATGCAACTTATGTTGTTTTGTCAAGTATTTATTGGTGAAGCTATTGTGATTCGTATGCTCAGTAAAGTCATTTACAGTAATCAGTTTGAATTGAGCTCCTGGAAGTTTACACAGAAAGGCCATATCTATATATCTATATCTATATCTCTATGAGATGAACATATAATATTAGGGTGCAGCAAATCACATATGTGAATCGTTGCTATGCCTTTACCTTAATGGCTGAGACATTACTATTTTTGAGTGACACAATTGCCTAGAGAAGGAACAGTGGAGTCATCCAAGCTGGTGAAAATTCCAGCAACTGTGGCAGGTTGACAGAGAAGTGTGGGGTGGATGTCAGGGACACACAGACATTTTGTAGCACATCAAATAATAATCCATAATGGCTGCATAATCTATTTTTATGTAAAGCAGGCCCTTTGCATTTGTAAATATTGCTTAAGCAAGTAATGATAAATGTCCTGCTTGTGAAATTCCCCAGGTCCCCAGAAGTGTGCCTATGTGTATTTCCCCTTTCACTGATCCATTGAGCCATTGGCTTCAATTTTATAGGAGTGGGAGTTCAATTTAGTATTCAGTGTCCATTGCCTCATGCTGGTTGAGCAGTGACTCCAAATCCCAGTTCCATAAAGTAATTGTGATATAATCCCCTATCTTTGCTGGCCTGGGCTTCTGTTCAGTTGTGCTGCATTTGCCATGATGTGAAATGTTAGGTCATGTTCCACATTATCTCCTGCGTTGGAAGATAAGGTGATATATGGAGAAGGTCGATGGCCATAATGGAGATGGACTGGATGTTGGGAAAATACTTATGCAAACTCTTCAGGTTCCATGCCTCCAAAGATAAATATTAGAGTTTGTATGCTAATAGAAAAAGGAGTAGATCTGTCTCTGACACTGTTTTATTTTCTAGAATAACAAATAGTACAAAATACCTGTGTGATATTTCTATTGGAATACAGACATCAGAAATACTAAGTTATTTTTCCCGCTACATAATCACAAATCAATTTTACCTAATAGAAATTCTAATCCACTCCATGCCCCCTCCCAAACAGGTTCATTTGCTTATTTCTCGTTAGTTATTAATTATTGCCATCACTGCATGTCATGCCATTAAACCCCAGGATGCACAAACATGTATTTTACAATTTAATGGTTAAAGTACTGGTGACAAATTGTAAGCAGATAATATGTTGAAACATAAGACATTTAGCCTCCAACCACTTATTGCTATGAAAATAGTGGTCATTTATTTTAAAATAGTAGCTTGCATTTTCATAAATTTATTATTCATTAGTATTAGCTGTTATGATTCTACATCAATGGTCAAAACTGTTGCTACATAAATGTTCACTGATCAGTGATCTTTGTATGTAGAGACAATCAGGAGCCAAATGAGGGTATAATCAAAAATCATTTTATACTGGGCTCTGAACTCATGGCAGTTATCCTTTTGCCATCAGCAGGTTTATCTTCCTACGTGTATTTTTCTTAGGCTATTATTAAACATGGTTGGCTGACTGTGGGGAGTTGTGACTCATATGGATGACAGTGTGAAAAGAAAATGGGATAAAAAGTGAGTCAAGGAAAAGAAAGAATTGACCATACACTTACTTACACACACACACACACACACACACACGCGCGCACACATATAAAAACTCATTTTCATTTATAAACACTGCACTCCCCAAGCAGATACTCCACTATGCTGATTGCACAGGTGCTCTGGAGCCTATGGCAACAACCTTTTACAGAGTAGGCACGCACATTACACTTCAAAAGTAAGACGTGCTTGTTATAGAGAAGACAGAAAACACAGAAGATACCATTACTGTTAACCATCCAGTAAATAACTCTTAAGATTTGGGCATATTTCCTTCCAGCATTTGTTTTTTTTTTCATATGCACATTTGTAGGCAAACCCTCACATGTGCACACACAGAAAATTGAGATCAAACTTTTACAGACTTCTATACTATGTGCCATTTCCCATGGCATTAAAAATCTATCATGAACATAATTTGCAATGACTTAATAGTCCGATGTATTAACTGTCATTTATTTTACCATTGTGGATATTTAGGATTTTCCTTTTTGCTTTTGTAAGTATGATCATCATAAAATATTCTTATATGGGTGTTTGTGTCACACTGTGTTCTAGAAGACATATGTGTGTGTGTATATATATATATATATATATATATATATGTAAATCTTATTTTGCAATGTAAAAAAGAAAGACCTGATAATGATGAGAGTGAATGAGGGATGATCTATGGTAAGATGCACAATGGGGTGTGTGTTTCATTCAAGCAAAAACTTCGTCTTGCTTATCATGTTAATTTCAGCACCCAGAACAGTGTGTGATTTAGACTAGGTGATCAGTAAATCCTCATTAAATGGATAAATTGATGAACAGCCATGAATGCCATGTAGAAGACAGACTAGAAGCAGAATCTAAGGTTCACAGTTTTACAGAAAAATATCAGAGTTTTAATATATGGAAGAATCTCATAATAATATGACATATACGATAGAGGAACAGAATTTCTCTAAAGGAGTAGATCTTTCTTTCCAAAAGTTCTCAAGTAGACTTTGGGAAGTTAAGAATATAGCCACAAACATCTATTTTGAAACACAGGAAGGCCTGGGTCTAAATCTTAGACCCTTCACTCAACCTCTCTGAGCCTATTTCCTCATTTCTGAAATAAGAATATTATCTACCCCTTTCAAAAGTTAAATGAGGATGATATGAGGCATTTCCTATAAAGTTTAGCCCAGTTTTTGTACATGGTAGGCACTCAATTCATTCTGGTTGTTTGTTTTTATTGTTCCCTGTCCATAACGTAACAGAAGAGACTTTCACGTGATGGGAGGTTACATTAGAAGACTCATATAAAGGGCCTTATGAATAGAAGACACCATGTTCTTTGGGTGGCCCATTATTTGGTTATAGTCATCCTATCAATGAGAAGAGCCAAAGTTTATGATATGCATGTGTGTACACGCATGACAATGTTTTTCATAGGTAGGCAGTTTATTGAGTGAGTTAAACTCTAGAGGGTCTGAATAAACAATGGCTCTGATTTTTTCCCCAATCACTGCCATTAAGTATCCCCAGTTGGTTCTGCTTTCCCTGCCCCTGGAGGACACTGCAGGAAGATTCCAGAGATTCTCAGTCGCTGCAGGTCATGCCATTAGACCAGAATGAACATATGTATATTTTACAAATTATTAGATAGGTAAAGTATTGGCGATAAATACTTTAGGATAGTCCGTTATCAGATTTTTCAAAAGTCATCTACCCTGAAACAAAACTTCAGCTCACTCAGTCCAGTGCCCCTTCTCTCCCTGGCCCCCAGCTCAGGCCTGACCTTAGGCCTGAAGATGCGCAGTGAGGTGGGCACATCGTCTGTTCCTTCACAGTTCCTCCCCTTGCTGTTCCAATTCTCTTCCCCACTCCTGATGCTGACTACGGTTGAGGGCTGAGGATGAAAGGGTGGATGGAAAGAAGTTCTAGGTAACTGACACTGTTGGATTCTAACTCTTGCCTTCTCTAATGGCGAGCCTCCAAATGCCAGCTTTCTTGTGAGTTGAACTTGAGTTCTTTGGAGATCCCTGAGGATCCCACACATTACGCCATTCCTGGAGGAAGAATGCACTCTCCGGCTGATGCCTTACAACTCCTGGGGTCTCCTTACTCTGGTAGACAGCCCTCCTGGTTGACATGTTTTCAAGATTATTCACGTCTGGCTATCTTGCACACCATTTATTTGGCCCACCAAGAACACGCATTCTTGCCTTGCTAAACAGTGGAAATGCAACTTAACTGTTAATGCACCTGCCTTCACCTCACCATCTTGGGTATTCCAGCTATGCTGCTGCCTTCAGAATTAATCCAGGTAAGAAACAAGTACGGGTGTTCATGTTTTCATACAAAACCCAAACTACTGAGGACACATGGCCGGTTCTCCAAAGAGTTCCTTTGCTCTCTAAGACAGGGCAACTTGTTGGAATTGCAGCAGCTCAGCAGATATATGACATATGGGGGAGATGCTAATTTCTTCTTACAGGGGTGGGAGCAATTCACCTTCTCCCCATCTTTAGGAGAGTAGGGAAAACGCCACAACATTGTCAACACCTACAAATTACATTACTTCAATTAATTCTTTTCAAATGTCCAGTCTTCCATGGTAATACAGGGTGTTGGGTGTAATGGTCTCTAGATAGCTTTTTCTTTCTTCTGGAAAGCCCTACATCCTGTATGCACAGGTTTAGATTCTCCCTTTAGAGTGAGGTTTTAGGTGAAATTCTGAGACAATAAGAATATCCCATTCCCATACTGCTATATTTATAAACAAATATACTTAATTTTAGAGTTTTATGAGGGCAAGGACTCCACTGATTTTGTCCATTTTTACATATCCACCATTGGCACAACACCTGGCTCACAGTAGGTGCTCAGTAAAGAGTCGGACAGCAAATGAATAAACAGTGTTGAAAAGACTTGTAGTCAAGTGGTATTCCACGTGCAATTTCATTGGCAAGTCATTCATCCATTCATTTATCCAACTAACATTTATATATGTGTGCCACACATATATGGTAGAGGCTTGGGAAATCAAAGATAAATAAAACATTGTCCCTG